ACCCACCCAGGTTAAGGGTAGGTCTGCCTTTCTCATTCCACTGACTTAAATGCTAATCTTTTTTGGCAACACCCTCACAGACATACCCAACATCAATACTTTGTATCCTTCAATCCAATCAAGTCCACACTCAGTATTAACACACAAAGTGTTAAACACAAAGTATTAAACAGAACATACTACAAAAAGAACTATCCATATATGTTAGAAATGTTATAAAATAAATTGATATCCATGATTATTAACTGGCATTCAGTAGATATATATAATTTAGTCTATCGAATCTTTCAGGACTCAGAACATGATACCCCAAAAATGTGATGCCTTGGCATGCTGAGTATTTTGGGCTGCAAGGATTGGGAGGACAGTAGAATCAGGGAGCCCTCTCTGAATTTTTCTCCCTAGAAGCTGGACATAGAACCTAGAATTCCTCTCCTCCAAAGCTAGCCATAAAACCCAGGAAATTCACCCCCGACTTCCTCCCTTCCCTCCTAAAGACTCTCTTGTGACAAATGTTCTGCCCCATGCCTAGAAGCCAAGAAGAATATGAAGAAATCGGCCTTGCTGAGGTTCCCTTCGTTTACTATCATAAGGTCATACCCTATTTTTGTCCAATCATACTTCTACATGACTGTCCATTCTTCATAAAAAAAAATTTCCCTGAGTCTTTGGGTCTTCCTTTCTGAAGCCTCCCATGTTACAGAAAACTTTGATAAATAAACTTCTTATACTTTTCTCTTGTTAATCAGTCTTTGATACAGGGATGTTACCTCCATGAAATTCCAATGAGGAAAATATATTACTTTTACTCCCCTACAAATCTTTGTTTTTATTGAATCCTTTTTCAAACAGCTTATTATAAGCAAACAAAAGAAGGTAGTTTAATTTTAGAATATATGCCTTGTTAATTTTGTACTATAATTTCAACACATATGAATTGATTTAAATGGACATTTCAGCCATTAATTCTAAAATTTAAACTAATGTAACAGATGGAATTCAGCCACCCAAGCAGGCTTCTGGGGTTTGATTACTCAAATGATTAAGATGCTATTTGTCAACTCTAGTTTACCACCCCTTTTAATTATATAGATAATCAAACTAAGAACTGCTAATTCTGTCTCCTAACTATTAATTGTTTGTAATTACCTACAGATTAAAACTGCATGTGCAATTAACTCAAAGAATTAATTGATACAAGAGAATTGATAAAAGGGAAACAGAACGAGTTTGGCATAAAAGAGGCTCTAGGGACACAGGACCACTAAACCCAGTAATGTCTTTGGCTTCATCATATCCTAATAAAGATACATTTTCATTTGAACTTCCTTCTACTCTGTGGAAGGCAGATGTACACACTGTTTCTTAAGAGCGTATGGTTTCTAAGTTGACTAAAACAGTGTATTTTTAAACTCTCAACTGCTGTTGCTTTTGGGTCTTTTGCTGAAATCTAGGTCAATTGAACAAATGTATTGACTTGCGATATGAAGATAATATTTATCACTACAAAAATTATAGCTGTAGGGAACGTCTTAACTACCTAAGAACTTTTCTTTCCTTCCTTTTTCTTTCCCTTGTTTTTCTAATTCCCTGACATTATCACCTGTGGTAGATGATCTTTTCAATTTTCTGTGAGTAATTTGTATAATTTAAGCCACTAAAATAACAGCTGCTTATTATGTTTTAGAAATGTCCCCCACCTCTGTAAATAATTGACTAATTGTTAACTACATAAATTTGAACAAAAACAAAATAAAACTGAAAAATGATTACCATTATAAACATCAAGATGATGCTAGAAAATGAGGGGAGATGGTCTGGTGAAAAATATCTAAAAACCAGAATTAAACCCCCCTCCCCTTTTTTTTTTTGAGACAGAGTTTCGCTCTTGTTACCCAGGCTGGAGTGCAATGGCGTGATCTCGGCTTACCACAACCTCCACCTCCTGGGTTCAGGTAATTCTCCTGCCTCAGCCTCCTCAGTAGCTGGGATTACAGGCACGTGCCACCATGCCCAGCTAATTTTTTGTATGGTGAAACCCTGTCTCTACTAAAAAAAAACATTTTTAAGGATTTTCTTTTCCTTCATGTATTTATTTCAGTTGAATTCTGTGGGACCTTTCACTCTTACAGTTTTGTTGGTTAGCCTTTTAATCAATGCCAAATTTGGTTCTAATCCAGGAACGTGTACACATACACACACACACACACACACACACACACACACACACACACACACAGGGCACACCATTATATATTCAGTTTTATCCCACATACAAACCAAGTGAAATACTTTCAAGTCTAGATATGCAAATTAGATATGCATAAAGACAGCACACTAACATGAATTAATATTTTTTGATGATAGTCTAAAATACTGAACAAACACAAAGTCAGAAAGGTATCAGTATAAGTACTTATTTAACAATTTTTTTTTTGTATTCAAGGATTGCTACTTTTTAACTCCTTGTTAAACTGATGTGACCATTTTGGTTTCTTTCTAAATCTTGATCTTGTTACTGCATTTTCCTCAGATTTGTTTACAATACTTTGTTCTGTCCTGCTGACTGATGACTGGGATTACTGATAAGATTTCTCTTCCACTTATCAGTATACAGCCTGCTCTTGTGCATATGTGTACACACACATGCATGCACACACACACACACACACACACACAAACACACACACACTTGGGACTCAGAGCTTTTATTTCTATGTGGCATTATATGTGAAGATTGTTGACTCTAGGAAGGGTTTGTGAAGATTTAGTCTGATTAATGACTTGGTCTTCATCAAACTATTAGCTTATAACTTTCCATCGACTTTGTGGAATAAACTGGAATTTGTTGCATGTCACCTTCTGTGCCTCGCTTCTAAGGAGGAGTGATTAGCATATGTCAATGTATGAATGATTACCTTGAGGATTTTAGTGGAGGCTTACTGCTTCCTGAAGCAGAAAAGTTATAGCTATATTTTCTGGAATGATACCTATGTACTGGGAGAAAATAATGTATCGTGTTTTCAACTCTGTGAGTCTGTTTTGTGAGTAAACAAGATAAAATATTTGAAAATGCTCTGGAGTCTACTGGAAAAATAAGTTACATAGATTTTAGTTTTATATTGAGTTGTGCTCTTCAATGATCAAGAAGATATCCCCTTTGCCTATAAGATTTAACCTCTTCAGACCAATTATTATTTTTTTTAATTACAGAAGAATTTTATTTATTTAATTTTATTTTTTAGAATGGCACATAATAATTCTACACATTTATGGAGGTACAGAATAGTGTTTTTATACATATAATGCATAGTGATCAGATCAGAGTAGTTAACATATTATTCATCTCAGACATTTGTCATTTCTTTATGTTGGAAATGTTCAATATCCTCCTTCTTATTCACCAGTGTTTACATAGCTACCTTGTTCACATTGCTAATGAATCAGAAACACAGAGCAGTTCCAAGTAAGTATAATCCTTGCCTTGGAAGAGTTTATATATTCAAAAAGGAGATTGGAAAGAGAAGCACAATTATATAAAATATTTATGAGCTGTTACTTACTGTATGTAGTAGTGCATTAAAAAGGGTAGGTAGGCCAGGAATAGTGCTGATGAATTGGTGAATACTTTGAATGAGTTAAGAGGGCATTATAAGAAATGTAAGGGTGTACACATCTTAATGACTCTTGTGTTACTCTTTTATACTCCCTTGCCCTTATAAAGCTGCCAAATGAAAGTATAAAGGGCATGGCCTTTCCCTTGTTATCTTCTTCTTAGGTACTAAAATGCTCAGATTCTCTATAAGTTACTCATTATTGGCATTTGCTTCCATTAAAGAATTTCATAGATTCACATTGAATTGTGATTGAAATGTGATTGTATTGCCTCTTCCAGAGATTTTGCCTTTTTGAAAGAGGGCACAGACTCTCAACTGAAATGGAAGAATTAGATATAAAATTAAAATGAGGTAGAATGTATATGTACTGATTAAGATGTCTCTGAGATAACATTACCTTTTCATTATTTTGTTACTTCATTGCCTCCCCATAGACCACTCAACTTTATGATCCTGTAAATAAATTGAAGCAATGAAGTGAGAGAATTTCTTACTTTTGAGTTTTCTATAAATTTATATAAAACTAAGCAGTCCATGGATGACTTTATTAAATTGAAAGTTTCAGGAAAGATTATGTATATGTACACCCACACGTATATACACATATATGCACATTATCACCTATATCCATATATACACGTGTGTGTGTGTGTGTGTGTGTGTGTGTGTGTGTGTGTGTGTAGATATGAAGGCAAATTGGAAATATGACAATAGTTTGATTCATTTGGATGACAGGATTGAACTGAATTTTCTTTTTAAATGTTTAATATCTCTGAGAAATAAATGGACAAATAAATCCTAAATCTCCTTTCCATGATTAAAGAAGAAAAGTTCCTGTAGAAATCTTACGTGCCAACTGTCATGAGACAGAGGAAATATGGGGTGATGCTGGCTCACCTTTTGTGCTTTCAACCTATTTACCTTAAACACTTTTAATAATTTACTTGGCAATTTCAAAACTTGTGCCTTATAATAATACTGAATTTTCTTTTAAAGTATGTAACACAGAGAGGTTTTCCTTTTATTTTTATAATTGCTATTCACAAATACGATTTTGCTTTAAGATTCCTTTAAAAAAAAGAAGCTGATGTTCTTCAGGAGAACACAGTGAAGACAATGAACCTATTGGTTTTTCGATGGGCATGCTATGCAATAAAAACATGAGAGCCTTACCTTATGAAGGAGCCAATTAATTGAAGCCTCTCTCTATGCAATCCTATCACTTCTTCACTTCTCTCAGATTAGATGACAAGATGTGATTTTAGTACAGAATAGTGAGCCTATAAAGATGATTTGCTTTACTCTTTGCAACATTAAGCAATATAATCAGTGTGTACTTTTCCTGTATAAATATTGTTTAATCTATGTTGATATTTCTAACAGACAAAGTGTTCTATGACTGGAGAGGATTTGTGCCGACAAGGTCTTTCCATTTGGCTTGTGACTTCGGTCAAGTTAGTTTCTCTCAATCATCATCAATATTTCGGCATTATTATAATGTAAGTATTTATAAAACTATATGTAGAGTGGAATTACCATTTCTCCAGTAAATTATTGGGTTAATTTTAATGAAAGCACTTGAGATTTTACTATGGACCTATTTCAGTCCTAAGATACTTCTCCATTGACATTCTTTTTTTCTGAAGCAATGCTTTAGTTCTGTTCTTTTGTCTTGCTTAAATTGTGCCGATCACCCTAACCCACAATATGTGTGTCATTTTTTTTATTTGAAAAGCATTAGTCAAAGTGATCATCACATGGTTTGCCCCAAATGTGTTAGCACATCAACTATTTTTGTAATGGTACATAGACTATCAAGAAAACATAATGAAGGCCAGGGGAGAATGTAGACATCTGTTAAAGGCATGATAATGGAAGGATTAAAAAAGCCAAGGGCAGTTTTACGATCACCTGTTGATGGTTTTCTCAATGAAGACTCTAATCCAGGGCATGACAGCCTGTGATCTAAAAGTAGAGTTGGTACTTTAAATTCATCTGTTTGTTAAAGCAAGTCCTAATACATACATGTGAATAGTTGGAGAAACTCATATTATTCAGACATCTTTAGCTACACTTTCTTAAAAGGTCACATAACGCTATTTTACAACATTGTATTTCTTACTGTCTTTAAATATGTCTGGATTTCTTGCATCTCTCACATGTTCTGTTCTCTGTGTGAATATGTCTGTCGTGTAATGGTGTGATCTCAGCTCATTGCAACCTCCACCTGCCGGGTTCAAGTGATCCTCATGCCTCAGCCTTCCAAGTAACTGGTATTACAAATGCCTGCCACCACACCTGGCAAATTTTTGTATTTTTAGTAGAGACAGAGTTTCATCCTGTTGGCTAGGCTGGTCTTGAACTCCTGATCTCAGGTCATCTGCTCACCTTGGCTTCCCAAAGTGCTGGGATTACAGGTGTGAGCCACTGCACCTGGCCACATTGTCTTTCTTTTGTACTAATGCATCCCTGATGTCATATTGGATTAGGACCCTACCCTTATGACCTCATTTAATCTTAATTACTTTCTTCAAGGCCTTATCTCCAAATAAAGTTACAGTGAATATTAGAACTACTACATATGAATTTTAAGGGGACACAACTTAGTCCATAACATTATTAGACAACTGAAATATATTTTACAAAATTATTTTTTCTATCTGTTGAATAGTTCTTAATCTGTCATTTTAAATAACACATGTTGAATTTTTATATTTTTATATTTTTTCTGTAAACCAAAACTTTTAAGTTTGGGTTTGTTGTGTAGGTATACGTGTGCCATAGTGGTTTGCTGCACTTATCAAACTGCTACCTAGGTTTGGGTTTGTTACACAGTTATATGTGTGTCATGGTGGTTTGCTGCACCTATCCACCCACACCTAGGTTTTAAGCCCTGCATGCATTAGCTATTTGTCCTTGTGTTCTCCCTCCCCTCCCCATACCCCACCACCGCCTGACATGCCCTGTGTGTTGTTCCCCTCCCTATCTCCAAGTTCTTTTTTTTTTTTTTTTTTGAGACGGAGTTTCACTCATGTTACCCAGGCTGGAGTGCAATGGCGCGATCTCGGCTCACCGCAACCTCTGCCTCCTGGGTTCAGGCAATTCTCCTGCCTCAGCCTCCTGAGTAGCTGGGATTACAGGCATGCACCACCATGCCCGGCTAATGTTTTGTATTTTTAGTAGAGATGGGGTTTCACCATGTTGACCAGGATTGTCTCGATTTCTTGACCTCGTGATCCACCTGGCTCGCCCTCCCAAAGTGCTGGGATTACAGGCTTGAGCCACCGTGCCCAGCCTCTCCAAGTTCTAAGTAGTCTTTTTTCATTTTAAATAATGAAAGTAATTAAAAATTATTGTTTATAAATTGATATTTTGTAAAATATACATAACATAAATTTTACCATTTTTGAGTTTATAGTTTGGTGGCATTCATCACAATCACATTGCTGTGTAACCATCATCACTTTCCATCTCCAGGGCTTTTTTATCTTCCCAAACTGAAACTCTTCCTTATTATACACTAATTGTCTATTTGTCCTTGCCTTGATGCCCTGAAAACCACCGTTCTACTTTCTGTCTTCATGAATTTGACTTCTCTAGGTGCCTCATATAAGCAAAATCATAGAATATTTGTTCTTTTGTGACTGGCTTATCTCAGCATGTTTTCAAGGTTCATACACATTGCATCGTGAGTCAGAATTTCTTTCCTTTCTTAGGCTGAATAATTTTCCATTGCATGTGTATATTACATTTTGTTTATCCATCCTCCCATCAATGGACGCTTGGGTTGCTTCCATCTTTTGGATATTTTGAATAATGTTGCCACAAACATGGGTGTACAGGTATTGTTTGAGTTCTACTTTTACTTCTTCAGGTGTGTACCCAGAAGTGTAATTTCTAGAACATATTGTATTTCTCTGTTTAATTTTTTGAGGACTAACCATATCATTTTTCACAGTGGCTGTACTATTTTACCTTCCTACTAGCAATGCACAAGTGTTCCAAGTTTCTCCTGATTTTGTTAGGAGTAGAAACAAAGGCACAGGAAACTTGGTCTTTGATTTCATTGGAAGAGAGATAAATATAGCATATTCTACTTAGAAGAACTCTTTACAGCTTAGTTACTCTTATCAAAATCTTAATTTGCTAAAATAACAAAGTCAGTGTAGGTATGCTTTCTTTAGGCTAGAAGAACACTGTGCTTTTTAAGCCTGACGTGCTTTTTAAAATGTATTTTCTATCCTCACGTTTTTAGTTTTAATAAAAAAAATGCAGTAGTGCTATATGTCTTTATGCTTTAATGTTTCAATTCTGCAACCATGTGTTTATTGTATGAGAATTATATTAGAATTTCCAGTTACTTTAAGCAGTAGCACATGGGCCTCTGAAACTTTTTAATGTAAAATTTTGAAAACTGCTTCCTGAAGAAACAGTTTCTGATATTACTTTTTATGGTTTCTGAAGTATTAAGATATTTTTAACCTTAATTACCCTGAAAGATAATATTTATCTAAGGTGAGTGAGACCCATAAATATAATTACTGGTGTAATTCTTCTTTAAAATATTTTCTAACTTTATGATAATGTATGAAGCAATGTTGGAACATATAATGTGGAGGGCTGTAGTTGTGGTTGAAAAAAAAATCTAGCCTTGGTATTTATCACAGTTCTGAGACTCGAAAATCAATGCACTTATCAATAGTGTTCTTAAAATAGGATAACAACAAATATTGGCAGAAATTTGTATAAGTAATTTATAGTTAGTATTTGGAAATACAGGAGAGTAAAGTAACTGTAATTAATTAGCTGTCAGTGGCAGGACTCTCCTCAGCAAGTGGCTAACGTACTATGTTGCAGTGGTCCTAAGAGTCAGGAAGGTGTCCCTGAGAAGAGCCCTGCCAGTTGGTGATGCCCTAGAGCAAGCTCTTATCCAACCTGCAGCCTGTGGGCCACATGCAGCCCAAGATGATTTTAAATGACGCCCAACACAAATTTGTAAACTGTCTTAAAATATTATCAGATTTTTTGGCAATTTTTCTTTTTAACTTGTCAGCTATCCTTAGTGTTAGTGTATTGTATGTGTGACTCAAGACAATTCTTCTTCCAATGTTGTCCTGAGAAGCCAAAAGACTGGGCACCCATGCCCTAGAATGAGGAAGAGCTGACAAGGGAATGTCTGTTCTGCATGAGTACATGCACTTTGCAGTGGTGATAGAGTCAGGGATAGCAGGAAAATTATTCCAGCCCCAGAAAGGACAGCTGTGGTTGTTCAAGGTGAAAAGACAGGATACATCTCAGAGATTGAAAGAAATTCAGTGTGGCAAAAGCACAGCATGCTAGAGGGAAAGTGGCAAGAAATGAAGCTGAAGAGATAAGCAAGGACCTATAATCATCAAGTGCTGTGTAGGTCTCTTTAATGAGTTTATGCCCTAGGATAGGAGGAAGCCACAGTCACTTTACAGCTTTTTAACTCTCAGTGAAAAGAATTTGCCTAACCTTGATACTTGAAGTAAAGGATTACAAGCACATAGAATTCAGCCTCATAAAGGTTGCATTATGAATTGTTTTCAAAGAACACATTATGGACTTCTGGACATTTGACTTTTCACTTCTACCCTGAATATTCCCACCAAGGGGAACACATCCTACATGAGTGAGGACAATAAAAAGAGTTGTTGGTCATATTTTCTTAAAAACATCCTTATAGAGGCCAAGGTGGGAGGATCACGAGGTCAAGAGATCGAGACTATCCTGGCCAACATAGTGAAATCAACCCCGTCGCTACTAAAAAAGTACAAAAATTAACTGGGCATGTTGACACGCACCTGTAGTCCCAGCTACTCAGGAGACTGAGGCAGGAGAATTGCTTGAACCCGGGAGGCGGAGGTTCCAGTGAGCCGAGATGGCGCCACTACACTCCAGCCTGGTGCCTGATGACAGAGCGAGACTCTGTCTAAAAAAGAAAAAAATAAAACATATAGGTTTAGGTCATGAAAAAAACAAAAACAGGTCATTAGTTTTATAGAAACATATTGTTTAAAAGTGAAAATAGGAATTTCAAGTATAACTTAAGTTCTTCACATCAGGTTGATTTTGACCATAGAATGGATTGACTAGATTTTAATATATGAAATTTTTCATTTTTCTCTGGAGAAATTTCTTGAACCATTTTGGTAAAATGAATATCGTAAGAATCTAAGGAGATTTACTTCTTCTGACTTGGAAATTTCAACATCTTTTTAAAATTTCTTACCAAATTGTTCTGTCAGATGGGTATGCGCTTGAAAAATTTTGTTACATAATGAAAAATAATAAATTAACTTTTATTATGTAAAACATATTTGCTCATTTTTTTCTCCCTCATCACATTTTCTTCTCTTTGCCCTTTTTCTTCTCTCTTCCAAAACATTTGAGGAAGTACTATAATTATATTCATAGTCATTATTTTCTCCCCTAATGGGTTACATTTGATAAATGATCGTTATTTGATTTTCTGACCTTTC